TTTTCAAACACGTCAGTGTCACTGCTGGACTAAGAATAGTCCACCAACCAAAAATATCCATCCAACAGCATCCTGTGACCACTGTTGAAGGACTAGCGGATGACCAACACAAACTGTGCAGCAGCAGATGAGCTATCGTCTCTGACTTTACATCTACAAGGTGGACTGACAAGGTAGGAGTGTCTAATAGAGTGGACAGTGAGTGGACACAGTGTTTAAAAACTCCAGCAGCACTGCTGTGTCTGATCCACTCATACCAGCACAATACACACTAACACACCACCACCATATCAGTGTTACTGCAGTGCTGAAAATGATCCACCACCCAAATAGTACCTGCTCTGTTAGGGTCCATGGGGGTCCTGACTCGGCCTTGTTTCAGTCTCGGTAAAGTGGGCTCAGTAGTTGTTTTCAAGACCAGTCGAGTGTGATTCCTCCATCTGAGGTAGTTAGAATCTGAACTTTTTATCTATCATTATTGAATATCAACAAAACCGTCAAAGAGAATAAAACAGTCCTTTATCTACATGAGGGGTCTCACAGTAGTGTCCCGTGGGTCTGTCATGAGCCTGATTCATTCATTACACAGTGTAGATACAGAGTGTCAGAATTAAGAAATGAACAGAATTATCAAACGAATCCACAGAGAACTTCATTCACAGCATTTCACTCAATAACTTCACTCACAATTACTTCACTTTGTTCAGCTGAAACATCAGTGCTGTCATAATAAGAGTCCCATGCAATTCTACTATGAAAGGTAAGTTTATTTTAATAAAATAAAATTTATCACATGCTCTATTTATTTATTATGATTCAATAATAATAATAAGACAAAACATTCTGATCTGCCCTCTGAATTTTGGAACCAATGAGAATCAACAAACAAATAAAACCCAGTTAATCCATCATTGAATAGATCCTCAAACAGCAGCAAACATATTTTATTTATAAACCTTCACACCGAATAAAACATGTTTTATTTTGTGTGAAGGTTTATATTCAATAAGGACAGAAAAAATCCCTTTCCAGTTACATCAGATGGAGGCGCTGCACTCAGCTGGTCTCAAGAACAGTTTCTTTGAGTGCACATTACCCAAAGACTGGGACAAGGCCAAGTCCAGACTTACGGTCTCGAGATGTACTGCAACATTTCAGTGTAATTTAGTCAGACTGCCTTAAAACTCACATCATGTTAACTAAAATAATTGCCTAGAACTTGACCTCACACTGATGTTGGCATCAAATTCAAAATGGGCATATTTTTCAGAACACATTAAAATTTCTCAGGTTTAACATTTGAAATGTTGTCTTTGTACTATTTTTAATTAAATATAGGGTTTAAATGATTTGCATATCATTGCATTTTGTTTTTATTAACATTTTATATAGCATCTCTTCTTTTCTGGAAACAGGGTTTAGTGTAGTGTATTAAGACTTGTCAGCTTTACTTGATATTTGTTAGTAAAACTCGTATTTCTCTTGGCTCTGTTTGCATGTTGGGTTTGTCTTTCTACCTTGTTTAACATCTGTGTGTTGTCATTCTCTTAAGCCTACATTCCCCTGGGTGTCTGCCTGTTTACTGTGTTTTAGAAACCCCTCTATTCTCAGTGAACTCTGAGTTTGGTTTATTAAAGTTGGTGCTGTTTGAGCTCAGTTATCTTGTTCCCACCTGCTGAGTGCGGTTCTGTGGTGACTGGATTCTGCAGTGACTGCTTTTGCACATTGAGTTAAATTTTGAGAACAAAGTTACATACATCGCCTCAGACGTGCGAACCTCACCTGCTCTACAGGAATGTGTGTGTTTACAAAAACAGAACAGTTACTCTACAGTTACAACTATAGTTATAAGAAATAACAGTTAGGTCAACTTATGTGGCAGAGTTTGTTAAAACTCAGTGGATATAAGTTACTCTGACCTGATTTCCATAGGTTACAATTACTTATTTTTTAAGTTAGTGTAATTATCATATAAAAGTTTAAAATACTCATTCATTTTAAAGTCAATAACATGAATGGAGTTAGTCCAGTTAATCCATTTTCTTAAATGTACACAATAATAAAACATACTTTGTTGATAGTCTGTTGAGGAAGTTATTTATGGTCAAATGATTTGAGTTTAAGGCAGTCAGTTTCCTCAAACCATGTCTGTTTACTCAACACATCAGTTTTAAACATAAACTTAGTTTTGAGCTCTTAGTGCTGTGTAAGTGACTGTACTTACCTCACAGTCAGGGTCAGTTATAACAGGCTGAGGGGCTGGTTGTAATAGCCAGAAAAGTCTGGCAGTTTAATTTTTGGCAACACTGGGAAATTTATTTTTGGCCTTAAATTAGATCAGCAATTATCAGCTCTATAAAACTGAAATGTTTTACTAATATGACATCTATAGATGTGCTGATGCTGCACTTTATCAAAATGTTTTGTTTATTTTCTAAGTGAAAATAGGTGTATTTAATTTGAAATGTGTACAGTATATTGAGGTAAACCAGGTCAAGTGTGGAAATTATAAGTATTTGTAAAGAGCATCACATGTTATATTTACAAAGTATACAGTGCAGGTAGATGAGCATTAGCAGCTTCATGTTCACATGTACAGCTTATAGCATAAACGCTCAGGTATAGACAATATAAAGCTTAAATGTGTTAGAGAGCTCCTGTTAAAAGTGCAGTGTGTATACAGTCTTTTGAGCTAGTAGAGCTCAGTGTGTAGATATGTTGAGTAAGATGGAAGGATCAGGATTTAGATCATTAACAGACATTTAGATTCTCAGACATCTCTTGTTGTAGATGTCCTGTCTGGGTGGGAGGGAAGCTGCAGTGATGTGCTGGGCAGTTTTCACCACCTTCTGCAGTGTCTTATGTCCAGCAGCAGTGGTGCTGCCATACCAGACTGTGATGCAGCTTGTCAGGATACTCTTCACAGTGGACCTGTAGAAGTTGCAGAGGAGCTGTTGTGCCTGGTTGACTCTCCTCAGCCTTCAGAGGAAGTGGAGATGAGGTTGGGCCTTTTTGACATTTGTGATGTGTTGAGTGACCAGGTGTGACGTGGCTATGTGGACACTGAGGAACTTGAAGCTGCTCTTCTTTTCCACCATCATCCCTTCGATACTCAGTGGTGAATGCACTTTACTCCCTCTCCAGTCTAGAGGGGGTGATGGTATTGAAGGCAGAGCTGAAGTCAGTAAACAGCATTCTGACATAGGTATTCATTTTACCCAGGTGGTTGACTGCAGTGTGCATTGCCAGGGAGACTGTGTCATCAGTAGATCTGTTTGTGTGGTAGGCAAACTGATGGAAGTCCAAAGTACTAGGAAAACTGCTCTTTATATGATCTAAGATCAGTCTCTTGAAGCGCTTCATCACATGAGATGATGGGTTTCTTTGGGACCAGGATGATGGATGAGGCTTTAAAGCAGGTGGGAACAGTACACTGTGCCAGGGAAAGGTTAAAGACGTCAGTGAAGGTGGCAGCCAGCTGGTTGGCACACGCTCTCAGGACCAGACCTGGAATGCCATCTGGACAAGCTACTTTCTGAACTGAGACCTGAGCTGAGATCAGTGCTCTCCTCACCTCATCTATAGCTAGTATGAGTGCTGGCTCATCCTTATGGCAAGTGATTGATTGGATTCCTTGCCATATGTCTTGGGGATGTAAGCTGGCATTGAAGAAGGCTACAGTTTTTGTGCCGTTCTTGTGTTTTGCAGCCCTGACACCAGCCTTTAGGTTGTGTCTGACAGCTTTAAGTTCTTCACTGTTGCTAGATTTGAGAGCTGCATCATGTGCTTTCAGCAGACTGCAGAGTCTGTTTAACTACGTAAGAAACTGTGTTATATTTTGCCCAGCGTTAGGTTGAGCGCTGCTCTTGCCCAGACTGGTTTAAGGTCAGAAATGATAGTTTAGTTGATTTACTCTTGTGCTGAACAGACTTGTGATTTTAACTGTTGATTATTTGTTCTACCTGTAACAGCAGCTAATACTTCACAATAATGCATCATGTTCTCTGTTTCTCTCCTACTTTAGTGCTGATTGTGCTCTTCCACTGTGGACAAACTCAAGGTAAATCATTGCACAAACATCTACTGGATTAGTTAATTAGCTCTCATGTAAACTTCCATACACATCTTATTCTTCACATTTAATACACAATCATTTCTACAACTAGCTATGAGAACACTGAGGTCTTGCCATTGGTAGTTTCTGAAGGTTTGTGTTTTTTTTCCTCATAACTTTAATTATGATGTAGAAACAGCTCTGTGATGTGTTGAATATTTCATATGTATTTACGGGAGTTTTCCTCAAAAAGCACACAATCCTGGGAGGAGATAATTATTATTATAAGGTACTAATTTCAGATTTACTAAGGCTGATAGTAAATATTGAGTGTGCACTGTTTAATGCCTGAGAAAAGCTGGATTACTTTTGGGAATAATGTATCTGCTGTTGTTGTTACTGAGAGGGAGAAAAGAGAGATTTTATCACAAATGTTTATTTATATAAATTAGTTTATCATTGAAGAAATCAAATGTGAACATTTTGTGAACACTTGAAATGTTATATTATTAAAAACCTTTCAGTGAAACAGGTATTAGACATTTCCTAATTCTGTAGGTGTATTTTACACCTGTCAAAGTGTCTTAAATGAGTAGTTTGACATGATTAATCACTTCCTTTAGATTATTTTACAATAGGAGATACTTGGGTAACATTGCTAACAAACACTGAACAGCAGACTGTCACCAATCTCATCTCCATAAATACATGCCCAAAAACCCCTCTCAACAAGCCAAAAATGCATCCAGATCTTCATTTGTTTTGCGAATTATTGTGAATTCTTTGTGAATTCTTAAACACACAGAGGCACCATAAAGTAACTTAGCAGAGAAACTAAACTGCACTTGGAAAATAAAAACAGTATTTGATTATGATTTTGACAACCACGTTTTCATCACAAATGAGCCTCAACCGTACATGTGTTTGAAGCTGAGCTCATAAAGAAATGCGTCAGGTGGATGCTGGACCCACCAGTGACTCGCTGGACACACCTGCAACTCCTCACATGTCAGGCATTGGTGGTACTTGTGGTGAGTGCCAGGTGATGCAGACTGAGGTAGCATGTCTCTGTTGTGTGGGTAGGAGCTACAGATGTCAGCAACATTTATCATGCTTGTTAGATGCATATGACATGAGAGTGAGCACAAAATGGACAGTGAAGATCTGTAGAAATGTATTTGGAGCACCTGCAGATTTTAGAAAATCCTGTTTGAGACCTTCATTGTAATCGTCAGGTGAAAAATGATCACTGCACTGAAATTTTGCTCAATACTTTTACTGAACAGCTCTCTTGCTGGTTTGTGGTTCTCTGCCAAACGCCACAGTTTGCATGTTTCTGCATCATCAGGGAATCAGTGGTAACATATCAGACTACATCTAGATTTCTTTGTTCTGTTTACTGTTTATACAAAATGGAACAAAACACCTCATTTTCTCAGCTTTATCATTATTCAAGATGCAACTTCTAGCTAACTGTCTCACAGTTATGAAGCCTCGCTATGCTGAAAAAACAGCATCATTCCTGCATAGTATGTTTTAAAGTTCCTTGCAGTCCAGTTTGAAAATGGAATAGTGCTACAAATTGGGACGTTAGGCAGATGTTAATGTAGTTCCAGTTTTAGCTTTAATTTTTAAAAATAATGTAATTTTACCTTTTTTGGTTTGTTTATGTAGCTTTATGTTAGAATTTTATAGGAAATCAAATAAGATTCTGGCATATATTTACCCAGACAAGTTTGGTGACCAATTCCAATGTTAACCTAGCACTTCCCGCTATAAACTAAAGAAGCACATCTCAGATTTTAAACAGGTCTTATCGACTGCATCTGGGGTGAGTGGTAAATAATTTTAATTAGATTTTTCATTGAACTTTTCCTTTAAGAACAAATTTTGTCTGAATAATGAATCAACGGTTTTCTTTCCAAAACTCTTTTGGCTCTGCAATCACTGCATTACTAAAGCTACTTGTTACATGATCACGAGACAAAATCATACAGTTCCCAATGGAGCAGGAATTTTAAATGTTCTCAGCACGATACTCAAGTTCAGCTCATCCCACCAGCTGATAACAAACTTGTGTTTCAAAACAGGAAGTTAAAATAGTTACTGTCTTATTTTTTATTTATTATGTCAAAATAATACAATTTTCTCAGAGTAATAATTGTTCTTTAGTTATTAGTCATTACTAGACCTACTAAATCAAAATCTCAAGAAAATAAGTCTTCATTTCAAATTCATTAAAGTTAGAACTAAAATCGTTTTGACTACATCTCAAGCAACACACTAGTGTTATAGTCAGGATTATTAGAGGTGAGTCTGAATCAAGACCAGGACTTAGTAGTGGTCAAGATTAAGCCAAGACTGAGACCAGATTAAGACTTTTTTCAGAATATAAAAATAAAAAGAAGAAAAGGGAATAAAAACTGAAATCAGTGTGTTCTTGATTTTATATTCATTATTGTCCATTACACATGATATATATTAATAAGTGCTAATACATTTCATAAGACATTTTGTAAAATAGAAAATTAAATAATATATTGTTTATATAATAATAAAATATTATACAATATAATTATATATTAGTATTTGTCTAGAAGTAAATGATGGTGAGGTTCTTTTTCTGTAAAATGTATTCAAAATCACCACCTAAAGCCACCTGAATATAAACCAAACAACAAACATCATTTTTGTTATTAAATGAAAACAGTAATAACAACTTTCTGATTTGCAAAAGTGCAAAATTGCAAAAGTCTCCACTTCCTTTGTTTTTGTTTCTACGTCCATCAAACTTTCAGCTCAGGCTGACTTGTAACAGACTAAAAGGTGTTTCGTAACGATTGAGAACTGGCGCTTCTCACGTAGCAACGACGTTTCGCCGAGCGAGTAGCGAACGAAAAAGGAAAAGAGAAAGACAGACGAACATTTGGAGATGAATGGACTTATTCGCGTTTATAAGCAGCGCAGTTGATTTCCTGGTATGGAAACGAGATACTGTCAAACACTAACTAAAACGTTGCGAAGATGAAGTCGCTTCTCTTTCTAATTTTCCCATTCCACCTTAAATCGTGCCGCATTAACATTCAACGCCGCAGTCAGACTTTAAGGTGGAACGGGAAAGTTCAGCAAGAAGCTGGCCAGTGAGAAGCGACGGAAGAAAAGCGGCTATAGCTAAAGCTTAAAGCAGAGCACAGCAAGTCCGCGTTTTCGTTTATATTGTTTAACCTATACTAGGACATCAGCACATACTGGACAATAAATGTTGCGGCTCCCAAGGTGGTTTGATTTTTGTTGAAAGGACAAAATGGCTCTTCTTATCATTAGTGTTGTGACTCCTGGTCTAACCTGGCTTTAATGCAGAGGGGGCCGGTCAGATTTCTCGCTCATCCAGTGGTGTTTTTGTTATGTGCCGCCACAGACTGTCCAGGCGCTGCACATACCCACTTCCAAGTTCCGCCTTTTGCGTTCCGTCAACATTACATATACGTTATAAATGAAATATTTAGAAAATCGATTTTTGACTTTTGTGAATCGATTCAGAATTGTCCACATCTGCATCGTGATGCATCTAAGAATCAATTTTTTCCCGCACCCCTAGTTTTAATACTGAGCTGTGAGTGAGTTTCCCACAGAGTTTAAGCCAAAACCTTTTCAGCTTCAGGAATGATACAAAAATGACAAAAACATCCAGATGATTCGGACACATAAGTGATTGTCAGGCATTATATTTTCTTCAGTTACACTTTACACAATTTCTTAGTCTAATAATTCTGATTAATTTACTGCTACCACTTTTCTTTTCTCCAATCTGTTTCCTCTGTAATGATGACTGAAACAGAGGTGTGAAGGTATCATGTGTGGATGAGCTTAATAAGTTAAACTTTCTCCAAAATATAATGATGTATTTGCTACATTAGAAACATTTCAGTTTTGTTGGAGACGTTACATTCTTGTATGTCTCATCATAAGTTAATTCTGCTGTTTGTGTTAAACATTAAGCCAACATTAAAGTTACATTTCTAAATAACATAAAGCTGATTGTCTAAATTCTCTCAACTGAACTTTGTTCTTCATCAACAGTAAAAGTCAGACCTACAATCACCTCAAACCATGAAGGAGCTGTACTGACAGGAAACACAGTGACTCTGTACTGTAAACTCCCTCAGTCTGCTGGATGGACGTTTTATTGGTCCAAACACACACAGAACTCTGAGAAGGAGACCATCACCAACGTCTACACCATCAGCTCAGTTAGTCTCTCTGATGGAGGTCAGTACTGGTGCAGAGCTGGCAGAGGAAACCCAGTCTACTACACACACTACAGTGATGCACTCTGGGTAAACGTTACTGGTGAGTAAGTGATTTTCACTCAGTCATATTTTATAGTGCTGAGAGTTAACAGCAGAGGTAGGACTAAATCATTTATATTACAGTTACACCTACATAAAGGCATCATAAATCTGAAAGTCCATTTATATAGTAGTTTGGTTCAGTTCATCCAGACCAAAGCAGAAAATGATACATTGTTCAGTTCTAGTTCTGGTTCACACTGTTCATACTGACACATTGGACATCAAGCCATAAAATGCAATCAAAAAAAGATTGTATGACATACATTTGTTGAAAATAACTGCAATAAGATCCAACAAACCCTCTTAAGCATGTTGTACTCTGATCTAACATAGCTTGTGGGTTTTATAAATGTCTTGTGATGTTCTAAAGAAATCTACTACAGGAGGTGGTGCCTCGGTTTAAAAATTAAACAATTTTTTCTATAATGTCTTTTTCTGTCGCATGTAACTAAAAAGGCAGAGAAGAGGTGATGGTTCATTTGGTGTTTGGTCTGTTTTGTGGTCATATTTTAAACAAAATGCACCACAGTTTGGTTAGAATTGCATTGATCTGCTCAGAGGACCTGTACCAGAGTCTGAATGGCAGTGTTCTCACTTGTTTTCTATCTAACTGCATTAACAGAGTAGTCACATCAGGATGTGAGCCACACGATAAAAACACAGTTGATTTTCCTAAAGTTTGATGTATTTCCAAGAGAAAAATAGCCTCAGGGAGGATCTCTGAGCTAGCCGAGTGTTTCACCCAATTACAGGTGTGGGTGATGAAACATGATATTATTCACTATTTTTTTTCCCCTGCCCTTTGGTGCACAGTAACATAGTTAAAAACCAGAAGACGTTTTAGAGGCAGGCAAAGGTCAGTAAACTTTGATGGACATTTACAAGAAAATAAGATAAGATAAGTTAGAACTGTCACCTCACAGCAAGAAGGGCCAGAGTTCAGTTCCCTGGTTTGGCGACCAGGGTCCTTTCTGAGTGGAGTCTGTGTGTTGCATTGTGTCTACTTTTGGGGAGGGTTAGTGCAGGTTTGGGAATCTGGAGTTGGTGGATTATTTTTGGTTGAAGCTACATGAAAACAATGAGAACAAACAAATTTTAATACATCATGCAACACCTTGAGAAGGAGCATAGACATTTATGGGTAGGGGGGCTAAGACTGGGGTCAGAAGAATTTTTTAATGGCTGTTCCTTATGGACTTTTATAGGAGCAACAGCCAGAAAATGTATGAAAATGGCTATTTGGTCAAAGTGGCACATGGTAGATTTGGCTTTTTGTAGTTTGTATTAAGCTCAGAGCTTAGTAAGCCGTGATCTCGTTTCCATGCCTTACTAAGTCGTGGCCATGACTTAATCATCTCATTCCCACGCCTTACTAAGTCGTGGCCACACATTAGGATCTCGTTCCCACATGTTAATAAGGCGTGGCCACGCATTATTTTTATTTATACAGGATGTCACCAGCGGGGCTCTATACTGATGAGAAAATGAAGACTTGCTTGTCTAACAAAGTTGCTGCTAGTGTTCTTAGAACAGTGGACTGACCACCACAGACCTCAACCTCACTGAATCTGTGTGGGATTATTTGGATTTTGAGAAGCAGAAAATGAAACTTCTAAGACGGTGTATTCTTCTGTTAATAAATGAATAACATAACATGAAAAATAAATGACTGAAAGACAGACTCTCACTCTTGCAGAGAACTGTGCAAGATTAATAATTTAATCTCAGATCTTCGGCTCTTATTTCAATAACAGTGTTGGGAACTGTGATTTTGTTACAGACAGCACTAAAGCTGTGGTGTCCATAAAGCCTGATAAACAGGTGTTTAAAGGAGAGGCGGTCACTCTGAGATGTGACATACAGGCAGGAGGAGACACTGAGTGGACTTACAGCTGGTATAAAGATGACCGTTTGTCCTCAAACAGAAGAACACAGGAGTTCACAATCAGCTCTGTTACAGAGTCTAACGGTGGTAAATACACCTGCAGAGGAGAAAGAAAACATGACTCTCAGAGCTCAGAGATCAGTGATGCTGTTACACTGACTGTGTCTGGTGAGTCTGTGGATTTGTTTTAATATTCTCATTAATTATACTGTATGTAATGATCTTATCACTGTGTATAAACTTGATTTAGTCTATTCTCCATGTTCTCTCTGTCAGATGTAGCTCAGGCAGTATTGAGTGTGTCTCCACAGAGCTGGCTGACTGAAGGAGACTCAGTGACTCTAAGCTGTGAGGTTACAGGCTCTTCTACAGGCTGGACATTCAGCTGGTACAGAGCTGTTCTCTACAGACAAGGCTTACAACAAATAAGAGACGTTCATGGCAATGTTCTGTATCATGTAGAGCTCCTGTCAGACAGCAGAAGAGAAGCTGGAGGCTCCTACACTCTCAGTCCTGCTGCTCTAAATCACACAGGAGTTTATGTGTGCAGAGCAGAGAGAGGAGAACCAGCCTATCAGACACAGTACAGCACTCCACAGACACTATGGATCACTGGTGAGGAGATACAGAAATGAATTAGGTTGTTTATATATATGTTGTATTCATCAAAACGATTCTTTTAGTGAACAGTATATTTGTTTAGCATTAGTATTGATCAACATGCTACATGTGTATCTTGTGTGCATGTTCAGGTTCATCTCCTCCAGCCTCTCTGATCATCAGTCCCAGCAGAACTCAACACTTTAGTGCTGGCTCTCTCTCACTGAGCTGTGAGGGACAGAGTGACTCTACTGGATGGAGAGTGAGACGATACACACACAGTGGGGAGGTGTCAGATTGTTCATCAGTTACAGGATCTACATGCAACATCAGCTCCCTCTACACATCCCTCACTGGAGTTTACTGGTGTCAGTCTGAATCTGGAGGAGGAAGTGATCCTCTCAACATCACAGTGCACAGTGAGTCTCCATTACTCTTAGCAAGAATAGGGGTTCAATATGGCACTTATATTAAAGCTATTTAATTAATTAATTCTTAAAAAATGTGAATACTTTCATACTAGATTAACACTTCAATATGGGAGGACATTATAAAGCCCTTATTCTTATGACGTCTATTAACAATCTTGTGCACTATCATTGCCTGAGTAATGGGTCTATATGAAATGCACTTATTAATGAACTCTGTGATAAAATACATAATTAGTTACACTGTGTCCCATCAGAATTGTTTATTTTTGTTTCTTTTTAGAACAATAGTTTAGTGTTTCCTTTAGTTCTTAGTAAATTACCAACCTCAAACTAAAGAACTGACCTCCTACTTTAAAGTACAATTTCTATTTAAAATGTAAACCTAAGAAGTTGTTACTTCACTCATTACTCTCTCCTACAGATGGTGATGTGATTCTGGATAGTCCTGTCCATCCTGTGTCTGAGGGAGTTTCTCTGACTCTCCGCTGTTTATTTCGCTCCACAAAGTCCTCAAACCTCACAGCTGATTTCTATAAAGATGGATCACTGCTCCAGACCCAGACTACAGGAGAGATGATCATCCGTACTGTCTCAAAGTCAGATGAAGGTCTCTACCACTGTAAACACCCAGAGAAAGGAGAGTCACCAAAGGGCTCTCAGTCAGAGGTGAGAATGCAGTTTCATGTTATTTAATTCTTTTTATAACTCTACAATACACACACTGTAAATACAAATTCATTGTTTCTTTTTCCAGCTTCAAGTTCTGAAACTGGATCTGGAATGGTAGCAGTGTCAGTGGGACTGAGTCTAACCTTGCTCCTCATTATCATACTTGGCCTGATTTGCTGTTGCAAGAAGAACAAAGGTTTGAAAACACACTTTGTCTGTCCTGTATCAGTTTATGCAGCTGACTAAAGACAGATTTCTGTGAGCTGTGCTGTTTGTACTGTAGCTGATATAAAAATATAGTTTGTGTCTCTTATTCAAAGATGTATTTTAGCTTCAACAAATGCCTGTAAGTGAAAAAGCATATAAGCTATGTTTTTACTTTCACTGTGGAGCTGCAGGATCTCTGTCTCCCTCTACTGGAAATCAGCAGAACACCCAACAAAGCTGCAGTCTGTCATGGTCTGGGGGGTCTCTCTCAGGAAACCCACCACTGCAGGCTGTTCAGTTTGCGTCAGTGTATTCAAAAGTGTGGGCACCCTTGGCCAAGTTACATATTTTGTTGTTTTTTGAATAAAAAGATGTTAACCCAACCTATAGTAATAATAATAGTAATAATAATAATAAGAAGAATAATAAGAATAATAATTAGTACATTTATTTATAGTGCACTTTTCATACCAGTGGCAGCTCAAAGTGCTTTACAGACAGGTGATAACGTTTTAAAGTAATAGATTTTCTTCTATTATACACTCTCAGAAAAAAGGTACAAAACAAAAAAGGTCACTGGGGTGATACCCTCAAGTGTACATCTCAGTACCTTTAGTCAGGGAATGTTTTGTTCTGTTTTAAAACATTAGGTTATGAAAAGGTACAAATACATACTTCTCACCTGGAAAAACTTATTTAAGATTCACAGTTGGACCATAAAACCACTGTTGTACCTTTGAGGGAACATTTACACTGTTTGTACCCTGATGAACTAAAATGCATCTGCACAGAACCTTTATTTCTAACAGTGTAGTTACTGTGAGTGTAAGTCTCTTTCAGATAATCTGAGCTCTCTCTGGTTCCCCTGTAATATAAACACAGCATGAAGCTTAAAAAGATTTCAGAGCTTTATTAAAACGTAGACTTGATCTCCAGATGACAGTATGTTCTGAGTCAGTAAGTGAAGGTGGAAGCTGAGTGTGTTTAAAATACAAGTGATTGTTTTTCTTGCAAAACAAATTTCTGCAGATTTGTGTTGAGGAGGATTTAACTGCCTTCCTTCTTCACTCATGATGTACAGAAAGATTCAGACTGTAAAGACACAATATGGATCTTTAGTGGATTTTACAAACATCAGGTTTATCTGCACTGTTCCTAATTTTTCAGATACGTCGACTAAACTCCATTGAGAGTGTAGTGGATTGTTTTAAAGAAGAAGGAGTGGAAAATTAGTTGTAAAAAAATAATTTAATGTTACTACTTATCTCATTTTTACCAAAGTAAAACATTTTCAAAACAGAAAAAAAGAAATTAAATATGTTATATTATCATGTCTTCCTGTTTGAAACCAAATTTTTAATAATACTACACATTGACCTACTTTCTACCTCTAATCTGGCAGTGTATCTCAGGAGATACACACATTTTTAAACTCAGGAGATACATGCTTTTTTAAAGTCTCTGATTAACACCAGGAACACCATTAGACCATGTATTTCTTCATCAGCATATTTAGACAATAGTCATGATTAGTTTTATGAGTTTATGTTATTGTTTTATTGAAAATAACTTTGATTAATAAATAATTATTATTACCTACCACCTGGTCAGTAGGTCCTGCAGCACAGGTGGCCATGATGATTTGATCTCATCTCTCTGAGCAGGCTGACTACACGATGGCGTATAACCTGAATCAAGTCATGTGATACGTGATAATTGGGTGAAAACCTTCAATCATGCTCTTTATAGGATGTTAAAGATTTTGCATCTGGTGCACACGGCCTGTTTTAGGGTTAAATAAAACCAAAGCTTCATCACCTGTCAGTTGTACACAAATATGTAATTCATAAAGTGCTTTTCTCTTGTAGGTCCGTGAAGAAAACTGCTGTTGTTGCTGTTTCAGTACAGACAAGTAACCATTTACAGAAACTCCTGGTTTGGGTTTTAAGGAGTGCAGACAGAAGAGGATCTGAACACATTTAGACTGTCAGAATTATCTTTAATATCTGTATATCTTTCAATAACAAACGCTCTGTTAGTGTTTTATACTGATGAAGTGAAAAGAGTCTCACTTTTTTATTACTGTACTTTTCTAACACTGACTCTGAGTTTAGGAATAATCAGATATTCTGAACTCTGCTTGGAGTCTTTCATGATAATATCTGAGCATGTTAGCTAGTAAAATTTAAGGGTGTAATGATTTTAAATCAGTGTTTGTGCATCAAAATCTAAAACTGTACAGTCGATACACTCCTCTGTCTCTACTGAGGAACTTTTATTTACTGTCCAGTTTCATCAAACCTGCTTTAGCATTGCTTATAGCTCAGTTGTTTTTTTTTAAGATTATTATTTCGCAGGACATACGACACTGCAATCTTTGAAAATCAAATTAATCTTGATCCTAGAATCAAGAATTGAATCAAAACTGTAAATATGTCTATAATAGTTACACCCCTCCTAAAATTTAAATCTTTTCTACACAATTTAAAAACGTCTAATTTCTTAATCATGATTAATATTATTATAAAAAGACTCATCAATCTCATCTCATCAGTTCAGTGATTTGAAGAGTTTAACACTCTCTGTTATGAGTAATAATACACTGTACATGTACAGCAGGGGTCTAATGATTTCTGGGGACACATTACAGTTGTTGTATTTAAACTCTGCAAGTATGATAGTAATTCTGTTATTTCACTGTTAATGTTTGCTCATAAACAAGAGTTAAAATATTAAAACAGAAAATTACATTTTGTTCTCCATTGTGAAAGTTCTGTCTAAGTCCAGCTCATCACACAGTATTTTACCATCACTGCATTAAACTAAACCCAGAACCAGACCACAAAAACCCATAATAGATCACACATAGCTTGAAATGTACACTGGGGAACCTGCTCGTGGAAACTGCAGGTGGTCATGAGTCATATGAGACTATTGAAATAAGCTCCCTCCTGACTGATGTGGACAAATTACACCAGATTTAGTACCAAACACAAGACAACACACAGCATCCAAAAACATGAGACCTTTGTTTTTAATGAAGGTGGTCACACCACCATGAGACTTCTCAGCTATTCATCACCTCTCTATGACTGCATTAACATAAGCCACCAACCAGAGCACTAAGAGCTGCAGTAAATCACAGGGGATTTAAAATTTACAACAAGAATGCAGTTAATCTAAAGCGTGACTCATCTATTTTAACCTCAGCTAACATTACTGGCCTCGTCACATTTTATCTTGTACCTTGAGTTTGTGAAAAAATAATAAATGTAATTATTTAACTTATGACAATTAAAACCTGAGGTACAAATGACTATCTTGTAAGAACATCACGTCAAAGTGTTGGACATTAGACAGTTATCAATCAGTCAGTTCTCGTAGTCGATGCTTTGGATATGGGTGAAATCCTGAATGACAGTAACAAGGATCAGATCATTATGGGATAGACTCCAGTCATCAGTCATCTATGAATAATTATTAAACCAAGTGTACAGATATTAATCAAATGAAAAACAAATTGGCTGTGAACTTAGACTGTGAAATCAGACTGTGAAATTAGACTGTGAAATCAGACTGTGAAAGAGTGTGTTGTGTTTGTAAACTCTTATCTTGTCAAAATGATGTTTTATGTTACATGTAGATTGATTTGAAGTGACCTATAAAACAGCAAAATAAAGAGCTCAAAGTCAGGAGCTCAGCTCTCCACATTTACAGCATTCATTATTTATAAATTACAGAATTAATTAATTGGTTAATTATTTAGCTGAGAACAGAAAACCTCACACACAAAGACACAAAACTGTGGGAACGTCTCACTGATCATATATATTTAAAGCCGTGAGTAAATTGTTTGTGCACTTTCCCAGCCACATTTAGTCTCAGAAGCCTGAGAACAGAGAGGAGTTAGAGATGTGTTTGTGGTCTGATTTCTATTCTAGTAAAACTGCAGTAATGACAACATCAACCAAATAAGAACTGAAACCTAATGTTTTTTAAATTATACTTACTGCATCATTTATGTAAAGCTATAAAGTCATATTTATTACTAGATAATCTTTTATTTACATATTTATAACCTTACTGATCTTCATCTTTCAGGCTCTTGTCATGTCTTTCCTTACAGTCTCAGCAGATTCATAATGCTGGGTCTCACTGCTTTGGTGTCTTTGCCTCTGAGAGGTGAACCGAACTTTCCCCTGAACTCTGCACTGCAGTCAGTTCTCACGCTCAGTTCTTTCCTCTGTGGTCTGAAGACTCGTATCTTCAGATATTACCTATTCTAACACCTTTCTGCTCTCATTCACACTTCATTTATTCACAGATGTGCCAATTACCTAGTAATACCAGATGCTGGTAACAAAAGTCCTTTTTTCTTTGACCCAGAGAACACAACATCCATTATTTCCACGGACAATCTAGAGGTTTGACTTGTTAAACAGAAAAAAAAACCCGTTTCCACTGTTCATCAGTCCATTTTAGATGAGCTTCAGCCCAGAGAATTCTGCAGCTTTTTGGACGTTGTTGAGAAATGACTTACACTGTGCACAGTACAGTCTAAACTTGCATTTCTGTATGCAGCGACAGACGGTACAGTGGCCCAGACCCCATGAGGTGATCTCCATCACAGAAACATGCCAGTTTCTAATGCAGTGCCATCTGAGGGGTCAAATTTCTTGGGCATTTATAGATTTTGGCTTTTTCTGAATTTTTACTGCTTTTATACTCACACATTTGTACCAGCTGTTTAAGATATGTTTGAACATTTCACAATGTTCCTAGTCTTAAATTGCTTCTGTCCCATTTTTCAACACATTGTAGACATCGATTTCAGAATGAGTGTGTTTTAAAAAAAACAATGAAGTTGATAAAGTAGAACATTATATCTTCTCTTTGAACTGTTCCCATTCAAATACATTTCAAAGTAGATTTAAAATCACTGCCTTCTGTTTTATTTGTATTTTTATATACTGTCTCAAATTTTGTGGACTTGAGTTTCTCTCTCTCTCTCTCTCTCTCTCTCTCTCTCTCTCTCTCTCTCTCTCTCTCTCTCTCTCTGTCTCTCTCTCATGTGCTTTGTCTATGGGTAAAAAGGAAGTGTTGTTGGAAGGTGATTGTTCAGTCAGTCATTACTGGGGCAGTATGGAGCTCAGTCTGCTCTCTCTGATGCTCTGTGAGTAAAGTTTCTCTTTATATTGCTTTAGCTTATTTGTATTTAAATATGTATTATTTTGTACTGTAATTGTTTTGTACAGCTTTGTTCCACATTTCGTAGTGTGATTTACATTCTAGGTTAAAAGAATAAGACACTCATTTCAGTTAAAAAAATCCACACATTTAAAGTAGGTGTTTGTGGCTCTTTCCATGAAAGTAAAATAGCTTTCTGAGCTACCAGTGCAGGACAGAAAATCAACGTAGCTGATACTACAAAAGTGTCACTATAAACCATTGGTCTTGAAGATAGTGGTATGTTAACTTCTTACTTTGTTATTATTATTAACATTAGTAACTAGTAACTCATGGTTTTGCCACTGAGCTGCTCTGTTCAGCTGGAAGCTGAGAGGAGCAGCGCGCTGTCCAGGGTCAGATCAGACAGGCAGGTCTCCGTGAAGCAGAGGGCAGATGTGGTTGAAAAGTATTGGTAGCTTTGGAAGTAGTTTTTTTTTCAATTTCATGTGTGTAAAGGACAGTTCAGGTAATTATTCATTGTCAAATTATTTGAGTTTATGGCAACCAGTTCATCAAACTCTTTCACTTCACTCATCAGTTTTACAGTGTAGTATAATATTTTACACTAATATATCATGTTCTCTGTTCCTCTCCTACTTTAGTGCTCATCCATCATGGACAAACTCAAGGTGAATCATTACATGAACTTTTACTGGATTATTTCATTTGTATTCATGTACATTTCCATATAATTCTATTCCTTTAATTGATGATTTCACAAGTTGCTGAAATCAGTAAAATCGTAAGTGATAACACATTCATTGTACATGAAACAGCAGTGCATTCATAAATGAATTTGTTCGTCAATCCATAGTTAATAATGTAGATTATAGATGTATTTCACTGTAAGATACATGATACATTAAAGTCCAATCTGGCTGCACAGAAACATTCATAGAACACAGACACATTAAACTCATTAGACTCATTATGATTAAGATGATTAAACTACTTCTTATATTGAGAAAAGCAGCTCTGCTCACTTCATCATTTCACACCAGCAGAACAACCTAAACTGAGTGTGGAGTCTCAGAGCACAGTCTACACTGGAGACAGAGTTACTCTGAGCTGTGAGCCGCCAGAGAGTACTGGATGGGAGATTCACTGGAGGAAAAACAATCAGTATATAAAACATTTAGAACTTCTGAAAACAATCAGTGTTACAGAGTCTGATCCAGGAGAAGCAGAGTACCAGTGTGTAGTGACGAAAGACTTACACACTACATTATACAGTGATACAGTCAAGATTACAGTGAGAGGTATGTCATGCTTTCTGTTTGCTTTTTACAAATTGAATTTAGAATAAGTGAAGAAAAAACTTATTCCACATTATCTATGATGCTTTTGAATAATATAATATCTCTGAAGATTCATTAAATTTCAAAAGTATTGATCATCTTTGAACAGAGAGACCAAAAGCTACAGTGAAAGTCCAGCCAGCTGATCATGTGTTCATCAGAGAGAGAGTCAGTCTGACATGTGAAATAGAAAGTGGAGATTACTGGAATTATGAATGGTATAAGAATAATAATCTTCTCAGAGATGCTCAAAGGAAGAAATATGAAATCTCTAATGTTGATCAGTCTCATGCAGGTGTTTATACCTGTAAGGGAACACAGTCAACAGGCCGAATATACACACACACCAGTGAAGCTGTTAGACTGACTGTATCAGGTGAGTGTGGTGTCTTTCTCACTTCATTTCTATCATTAACAGTTAAAAGTTCAGAGCTGCATTATTACTAAATATCATTCTGCTGTAGATACTAAGGAAGTAACAGAGTAGAATCAGCAGATTTTCTCTCTGAAACACACAGAGCCAAAAGTGTGTAGAAGCGCAGCTGCATTGCAGAATGAGCCTTGATGAGACTGCAATATGAGCCCACAACGCAACTAAAATGAATGTTTGAACAGCATAGCTTGAAAAATAACTGCTAGAATTGTGATGATATAGCATTTATAATAATAATAATAATAATAATAATAATATATATTATATATTATTATTATTATAAAATTAATGTTATTACTGGTTTTTGTACTGAGCTAAAATGTCATCTTAGCCCAATTATTTGGAATTCAGCTGTGAAATTTAGCAAAAAGTGTATTTTTTACTAAAATCCATTATATGAGCTGTCAGAGCCTCAGTAAGCTGCATGGCTGAACACAGACTACATGTTATATTTCCAGTCCTAAAAGCAGACGTCAGAGATGACCAATAAGAACAGCTCATATCCCCACGTTTAAAATCGAAACATTTTTGTTGGAAATTCACAGATTCATCAACAAACACACTATAAATGTCATATAAATGATCTATTTGTCAGTGTCTATTTTCACTAATCCTGCTCATTTTGATGAACATAATTTTATGTACTTTATTAATGTATTGTGTTTTATCAGCTGCAGTTGGGAAAGTTGTAACATTTGCACTGTTTTAACTGAATTGTTCAAAAAAGGTGGAGCGGAAAACAGTTTACATTTCATGTTGGAGCAGAGATGTGTAGACTGCTTATATAAACATTAATTATGAGATTAAAACATTTTGCCAAAGAAAATACAATTAGAAGGTCGTGGTGCTCTGTGAGTCTCAAGCTGCTTCCAGGGATGCAAGGAGGTGTTTTAAGTTGAGGTGCTGAAATTTTAAGCAGCATATGAGTCACCTGACTGATGAAGTCATGCGAAATGATTTTTTTTGATAATTAACATGAAAAAGAGAATGTAATGCGGTGCTATAATGAGACAAGAAACCACAATATATACATCTAACTGACACATCAAACCACTGCTCTCTTATTCTAGACTAACGTTATGTAAATGAGATAAGTGGCGACCAATCAGATTGTTCACATGTGGTTCGTAATGATTGTGTCGCCCACAGTCACACACTGATATTTAACTCTGGGACAAAATGTTATTGTTACATTAGATTATTTAGTTTAAGAACAATGGGCCACATTCACCAATATCTTTCTAAGTTTTTTCTTAAACTGGTTCTTAAGAAAGATTTCAGAAAAAGTATCTATCTAATTCATGAGGTGTTCTCAGTGGCGTCTCTGCCACAGAAAGCCTGGTGGGGCACAAAAAACTGTAGGGGCAGCCGCCAACTCCTCAATCAAACTACACAAACAAACCTGATGCACCAAACGCACTTGTAATAATGCAGAATGGCTCTCCAGTGACGTTCACTGCTCAAAAAGAAAGGGCACTCGCAGTTAGCCATGTTTTTCTCTTGAACCTCTCTGGGTTGAAGGAGCAGTTTTTGACCTTTCCAGCCTGAATGATGTTTAAATCCTCTGGCTGGTGTGGTCCCTAATGTTTAATCTCTAATTTATGCTCTAATGGCTGGCACCAAATTTAACTTTTATGACATTTTCGACTTGACTCATTATATTGCCTTGCTATTAAGAGCGTCTACCACAACTGATGAGGAGCATTTGCTAGCTGTGTAGCAACGGCCACACCGTAAATGACATTTACTGAACATCTGGACATATGTAAATTTGTTATGTTTTATTGGCTTCTCTCAGCAGGGGGCCAACGTGATCATGCCCCACAGCTGGTTATTGAAAGTGCTGAACATGCGCAGAATGTTTTTTAACTGCTCACTTGGTTAGACGAGCGCTGATGGGTCCCACGCTCACCAAACCAAGACTGTTTTAAACCAAATGTTTAAAATATAGCATGGAACAGAGAAACAGTGACACTGGAATATTAAAGTGACTGAGCTGATTATGGTGCTGTTACTTCATGGATGGGTACTAAAGTTAGGTTGGGTATTTGGTATTACATTATATACAGTGTTAAAGTCTGGAATCACATCTTATTGTAAACAAAGAATAGTATTGTAATATGTACAGAATGGCACAAAAGTCACAGGCATCAGAGAAAATGATATGTGATGTTATTTATCTGGGTGGTAAGTGTTTATTTTTCCAAAATCACTAGCATTGGAACAAATAATCACTAACATTAGACCAAATAATCAAATAAACAATCAATTTGATGTGTTATTTAGACCATTTTTCAAATCTCTCCTGGAGGAAGTCTAGTATTTACAGGTACCAATACCCTGTTTATCTAAGCAGTCATTCACTAAGTTAAATCAGGTGCTGCTGATAGAATTTAAGAAATCCATGCAATGACAGCAAGAAGTCAGAAATCAAGTCTTTACATCAAACAAACTTTACATCAAACCTGCACAACAAATAACTTCATTACCAAACAACACATTAATTTTACTGTACCACATAGTTAGACTAACAAATATTTAGCATTAGGTGCTAGTGGGTGGAATAGCATGCCTTGAGAGCATCAGCTCATTTGACACATAATAAGGAATAAACATGCAAATTACATTGTCATTTTTTTAATAACAAAGTTATTTTTATATGGTGGTGGTTTTATATGGTTTCGTATATGTGAACATGAAACCAACTGTTCCTCTAAGCTTCTATTTATAGGCACCATTAATGCACTGACTTCCACTATCTTTAGCTGTGTTCCTGGAGAACCACCTGCTCTGCACATTTTTTCGTTTTTCTGCTCTGAAACACTCACAACAGATGAGGAAGGACTTCCTAAATAACTGCTTAGTTGGATCAGGTGTGTTGAGAGCAGCAAAAACAGCAACATGTGCAGGGCAGGGGGTTCTCCAGAATCAGTGATGAGAACCACAGGTGTACAAGGTTCACATTAGTGACATATTGATTATTCAAAAAAAAACAAAGTTTATTGAAAAGTGACAAATCTGTTTGTCAATAAATGTTGTGTTGGTGACGACGAGTGACTGAAAGGGGGCAACATAAGGGGTTGTTCAGATTTTTTTCTGGGGCAAGTGCCCCTGTGTCCCCACCCCTGGATCAGCCCCTAGCACAACTCAGAAACTGTGTTTAGACTCATGTGCCGGTTTAGGACATAACACATTTATAAGGGTTTGATAGAGTTTTTGTCTAAAGCATAAAGTGGAAGATGTGTAAGAGCAGTAATGATTGATTTAGAAACACATCTGGAATAAAATTCTCTCTGTAAACTTATAGAGAGTGAATGTTGGTGAACACTCTCATGCATGTTCAGAGAGAGTGTATATTTTAAAAGTATTTGTTTTCTTTGAACAGAGAGACCAAAAGCTACAGTGAAAGTCCAGCCAGCTGATCATGTGTTCATCAGAGAGAGAGTCACTCTGACATGTGAAACAGAAAGTGGAGATTACTGGAATTATGAATGGTATAAGAATAATAATCTTCTCAGAGATGCTCAAAGGAAGGAATATGAAATCTCTAATGTTGATCAGTCTCATGCAGGTGTTTATACCTGTAAGGGAACACAGTCAACAGACCGACTATACACACACACCAGTGAAGCTGTTAGACTGACTGTATCAGGTGAGTGTGGCGTCTTTTTCATTTTATTCATGTCATTAATAATTGTGCAAAATCAGAGACCTTCCTTCATCTGTTATAGAAAATCACACAGAAACTTCAATATCTTAATGCAGTCAAATTGTTCAGCATTTAGTGTGTCCACTATTTGCCTTTAGTACAGCATCCATTCTTTTGGACAGTTTTTCCCAATAAATCTCAATCTTAGGCCTCATTCACGTGTGGATATTTAAAAAAAAAAAACATTTTTTCCTGCTTTCAAAAAATCCTCATTCATTCCAGCAGCACTTTTGAAAATCTCTCTGTCCACATGAGGACGCAAAAACTCTTGAAAGGTGATCAACTTGAAAACACATCTGGAATAAAATTTCCTCAGTAAATTACACTCTAAACATCACTCTTTGGTTGAACTCACTTGAATTATCCAAGGTTTTACACCAGACGATTAAATAACTTTCTTTCAAAATGAGACAATTTTGTTGATGGAACATATTTTATTTAAAATGAACTAAATCTGCTCTCACATTTCTAACTCAACTCATTAAAACTCATTGAGCTTGATTTACTAGTGTTGATTTAACTTATGTTGGCCCAACTTATCTTACTAGAGTTGATTTAAAAGTGGACACTGTAGCGTCCAGTCAGTTTACAACCACAATCAGCAATGGAGAATATGGTACTGTAAACAATAAAAAAGCTAGGCAGTTAAACTAAATATAAACTGTAAGTGTACACCTGACAGAATATAGCCTGGTAGTAAAGAAAAGTGAGAGATGGTGAGAAAAACAAGTAGAAGGACACATTCAATATGCAAATCAATGAAGCCAATAAAATCTTTGAATACATAAAATACTTAAAAATGTTCTCCTAAC